GCTTGATTCAGTGGGAACAACGTTGATAAAATACTTGGGTTTAGTTTTTGGCCAGTGCTGGCATGTGGTGAGCAAGGTCTTTAGCAGTTAACCAGGTGCAGAAGCTGGGAAAACCAAAAACCAGTCACGACCCAAGCTGAGCAAGAATTATTCCATACCATAAACATCACACTCACTGTAAGTTGAGGAATTTGGTGGGTATGGGTTCTCTTTCCTCAATGGTTGGTACCCTCAGAGAGTTTCATCTGTCATTCTGTTCCCGAGGTCTCCTACTCCCCCATTTTCACTGGAGCAGTTATGTTCACAGTATTTATTTCTCTTATCTAATATTCACAGCTGGGAGTGCTTGGCTCACTACTTCTTTGTGAGCTGAGTATAACTTCATGTGTTTTCTTAAAATTGTTCCTATTATTGTTAAAATTTGTTATTATTGCAATTATTACATGTATTATTAGTTCAATTTCTTCTTATTATTATATCAGTTTAGTTTATTTCAGTCATTGAACTGTTTTTATCTCAACCCACGAGCATCCCAACCTTTCTCCTCTACTTCTCTCCCCTACCCCACTGGGGAGGGGTGCAGCAAGCGAGCAGCTGCATGATGTTTAGCTGCCTGCTGGGTTAAACCACAATGGGCAGTTCTGGGAGAAGGGTTTTGGGCAGATTTCCTGGTGCTGATGGTGTCTGGGATGCGGCTGGGTCCAGCACTCATGGCCTCAGCGACAGCAAAAAGGAGGAAGAGAGTGGTGATGGCAGAGCTCAGCAGCTCCCAGTGTGAACCCCCAACAGCTCCCAGTGTGAGCCCCCAGCCACCGGCTCAAGCACGCTCCTGGGTCTCCTTCCAGAGCTGACCCCAGCGATTCCTCAGATTTGTCAGCAGAGCCCAGTATTATTGCAATTAAATACAGCCCGGGGCCGCTTTGCCAAGCCATAAACTCGCGCTTGGCTCCTCAAAGCAGCCAATTTGCCTGCACCTGGAGTAACCACGTATTACTGCTGGTCCTTGGGCGTCCCCTCACTGGGAGCAGCACTGGGGGGTAGCACCGTGCTGGGGGGTGCCCTGGGCACCCCTCACCTTGCTCAGGCATAAGGTTAGCACAAATTCCTGCCTTTTCTGAGCAGAATGAGGGTATTTTGTGGGGGAATTTTTCCTGCTTCCCTCTCTGCTCTCATTATCCTCCTTCCACTCTGGTCTGCAAATCCAGAGACAGGGGTGCTGGGCTGGGGATGCTGCCTCTAATTAAGGAGAAAGGTTTGTTGCAGGATTTTCCTGGGATTTTTTTTCCCTGCTTCCCTGCTCTAATGGGAAAACAGCAGCTCATTGGTTTAATCACAGCTGGTGGTCCCGGTGGTCATCCTGAGCACTGCATCCTTGGGATGCTGCTCCATCCCTGCTGCTTGGCTCTCCTGAAATTTAACTGGGATGGTTTGAGAGACAATGCCAGTGTTGACGAAATACTGGCAGCAATCAGAACAGCCAAACTACTTTAAAAAATGAGTACGTTACTTTGGGTGGAAATACTGATGCAGAAAGACTCTGGAAAAGCTGTTTGTTGGGGTTTGCTATCCTGGTGCAGGCAGCAGGGAACTCAGTTTGTCACAGAAGCGCCCGTAAAAGGGCCGTTCCTCTGACTGCTGCTTTCAGATATCAGTGGAAGGGTGAGCAGACAGGTAGCTTAAATAGATAGCTGTTGGAAGTCCAACTCATTTTGATTCCTTTTTAATGTCTTTTATGAGGGGGTATTTCGGCGCACCTGCAAAATCCGGATGCAGACAGATAGCCTGTCCTCCTCGTCCTCGCGGATAAATTGGGTGTCTGAAGTTGGCCGCTTTCCTAGGCAACAAAACTCCTTGTGCTTTCTTGGAGTCATCGAGCCAGTCCTCTGAGCTAAAAATGCAGGAAGAGGGCACCGAAACAGAGCTTTTTGGAGTTCAGGTCATTTATATTTACTTGGCCGGGCTGGAGATCAGCCAAAACCAAAATCATAATGAAAGAAACGCTGATTGCAACCAAACTCGCTTCCTGAAGACATAAAGGGCAAAGACAGAAAACAACGAGCTTTCCCCATTGATTTAAGCAGAGAATAAATTTCTTCCTGTCCTAAATTCTCACACATCCATTACAAAGGGAAAGA